GAGAAGATGGCCTTTAAACTATCTAGCCTTCCAGTTGTGTCAGACAAAAGAATTCTCTTGATATTTTAATGTTGCCTAAAATCCAGAAATGATACATTTATTTATTGTCATATTTATGCGATGGCTGGCAGGGAACTGAAACCGAGTAGGCTTTCCAATTTACTGCATAACAACGTAACGCCTTTCGTAAAGAACATTGCCAAAATTATCTTACAGCTGTGGATGTATGCCCACAAGCTCTCCCGGAACTGATGATGGGTCGAATATTTGTCCTGTACTCATTATTATTATTAATTATTATTATTTGCTGAAGACTTACGTACTGTTTGGAACACAGGCAGTTGGATGCAGGCCAGTGTTTAAGCAGCTGTCTGTCCAGGAGGGCGGGGGGGAAAGCCCTGATTTGTAGCATTGGCCAGTTTCTCTCATGTAAATACTCCTACCATGACAATTTTCCAGCTACCAAGGTGACGTCACTGCACGCTGAGCGTGGAATTGGGAAGAGATGCACATGACAGGCTCTTGTCAGCTGGTGCAAGCTGTCTCTGCCTGCACAGGATATATCTGTGGGGTAGTATTTTTCTTCGTGATGTGAACGAGCAACTATGAGAATTCAACTCATGACCTTAAAACTCTGTAGTGTGACATTATTTCTCAAACTTTTTGAGCCCCCTCAATATATGGGATAATGGATAACAGTAACTATAACCAAAGTTTGGCAAACTGTAATCGCTTTTACTATTTACTGCATTCTGATATTTTCTATTCTATTCGAATTCATTTAAAACAATAAATTGTTTAGCGATTGCTACTTTTGTTTATTTCACACACATGTGGCTGTTTCTATGTGTCAGGCACTATTTTAAATGCTTTGCAAATATTGACTCATTCCTTCATCATAACCACCTGTCAGGTAGGTGCTGGGTTTCATCATTCATTACTTGGTAGTGATCTCACTTGTCTTCCCCATCCCAAATATGCTTCTCAAAGGAGAGAAACTTGACATAGTACGGGGAGTTTAGTCAGTAGATAGTGTCACAGTAATAATGTATGTAATTTGCCCTGGTGTATATTTTAATTTGCTACATTTTTTCTCTTATTCTCTATGAGTATTATGGCTAAAAGTGCTTTGTGTGCTTCAGATGTTTTAAAAAATTTTAATGAGACTGCTAATTTTCTTCTTTTCCAGATTTTTTTCTCAGAATCTAAAGCATTAGCATTTTGCTTTCTCTAGAATATTTTCCTCTCAGGAAAAACAGATTTTACGGACTGTTAATCAAGACTAGTCATACGTTTTCTGAATAATTCTTTAATTTGATCTTCTTGTTGCTATGAATTGAGTCACACACAGTCTCATCTTGCATCAGCTGCCTTGTGGCCTCAAAAGCCTCTTGGCTGATGTCTCCATGTCCTCTCTGGCTCCTCTGCCTTTCATTCTCCTCATCTTCAGTAGCTTTCCATTGAACTTAGAATAAAATCTAAAACCTTTATCATGGCCAACAGCTTCTACATAATCTGACTTGGCCACAGGCAGTGTGTCTAATGGGTAAGGGTTTGAGGTTCAAGTTCTGGTCTCTCTCCTTGCTAGCTGCATGACCTTGGAAACAATTGTTAATCTCGCCATACCTCAGTTTACTCATCTTTAAAATGGGAAAATAATAATACTGACATCATAGAGTTTTTCTAAGGATTAAGTGAATTAATGCATAGAAAGGGCTTAGAACAGTGCCTGGTATACAGAAAGTGCTTAATAAATATTACCTCCTCTGCCCTTCTTCCCTCTCTGCCTCCCCAACCCCTCACCAAACTCTCCTTCTTTCAATTCATTCTAGCTGAAGGATCTTTACACACGCTCTTCCTACTACCTGCAAACTTCCTTTTTCCACTCCTCACCTAATTCTTTCCTACTTATTCTTCAGGTTTCTTGCTTAACTGTCACTTCTCAGATGACCCTTCCTTGACTCCTAGTCTGAGTCAGATCCCCTGTGATAGTCTCTTATCACAGAACTTACCTTCCCTGCCCAATTTATTCTTCTACATTTATTAATGTGATCACAGGAGACTTAGAGTGGTGAAGGCGGGGACTGTGTCCACATGATTGGCTACACCATTCTCAATGTTCAGACTAAGCTTGGTACAGCATTCTAAAATTTGTCTGCTCATATCAGACAGTTGAGACCCTAAATAGTGAATTTTTATCATCTTCATTCCTGTCTTGTTTTTAGATGCCTCTGTTTGTGACTCTTCTCTCTTTTTCTTTGAATAACTTTTATTGCTTTCTTTTTCTTTTTTCAAGAGGAATACATGCTCACTCTAGAAAATTCCTCACTACTGATTTATGATGTACTTATGTTTTCCCTGTAAGCTATCTAAAACTTTTGGGGGAACAAGTTAGATTTAGAAATACATCAATATAAAGAAATGATAAAGTAAAATAGGTATGAGTTACCTACTTAAATATTTAACTGTGATCAAAATTACATTTCCTTAATTATTTAGCTTGCACAGTGAAGACAAAAAGTTGCTTTGGCAACTGGCGTCAGATGTGGGGAACTACACAGAATAGCTGCTATTTTTACTTTTTACAGGGCGATCTGAACCTCTAAGGAAGTGAGTAGATCTCTCTCTTCATGCTTATGTCTTTTATGAATTTTGCACAAATAAATATTGTTCTACCCAAATAGAACACTAACAATTAACAACAACAAAAAGAATTCCAGTTGTAAGTGGAAATTTAAGAAATAAAATTGGAGGGAAACTGATCATACAGCCATGAAATTTAACGTTGCTCAGGGATTAATTTGCTGGTCCATTCTAATGACCAAATGATCTCTTGACATCTTCAACTCTATTTTGCCCTCTGGGAGGTCAGCAGAGCTTTCCGGCTAATAGTTCTAGTGCTTCTCACTTGGAAAGAGGATGGCAAAGTTCCTGTACCCCCAGATCTAAACTAGTCTCTACTGAGCTGTGAAGAGAGATGAAGCTTCCAGCCCTGATTTCACCAAACACATGTGGATTGGAGCCTTAGTATTTCATTAAAAACAAACCCTAGCTAAGAATTCATTGTTCATCCCACAGCTCTGATCCACAGATATTAAGATTCTTACTGACTGTTTAAAAATGTTAGTGTGTCACTTCTTAGATTGCTACTTCCTGGCGTTGAAACCATGCTGAATTTGCAATCATCTTTGAAAGCCCAAATTATACACTGTGTTCTTCGTGTTGACAAAGGACTTTGGATTTTGATTCAACAGTTTTATCTACCAAGGGAGGTGAAGGAGTGTTTTCTAGGACATGACATACTCTAAGAAACATATTTTCTATATTGTTTTTTTTTTTTTGTAAAATGGGAGATATAATTGATCAGTGAGCGTCTGAGTTTAAAAAGAGATGATTTTTATCAATATTAAAATAATAGCAATTAGTGTATAATTTTCTCTCTTACTTGAGTATTATTTATTAAAATGATATTCATTCATGCCATTATGACATGTAAGGTTGGTAAAGAAGTTTCTAAGGGTCATAGGTCCTACCTTTTATTTATGAATGATTCATACCAGCAGTAAGTAATATTTCATCAAGAATTTATATTACCTTTTTAGTTTCTAAATATACTTAATTCACACTTAAAACTTCAAAATAGTTAATTGTATAAAAAGAAAAGTGAGTTTTATTTATCTTTTAAATAACTCCTAGTTATAGTAATGAAACATTTTATTAGTCATTAATCATACTAACTTATTTATTTCAAAATGCTTTCACTTCAGCTCAATAAAGTTCAACAAATTTTTATTGATGTTGTGTCTTTAACCTTTAGAGCCATTCAGTCTAATGACTCTCTTTAAATTTTGTCTTATCAAGTAATATGGCAGCTCAGCATGTTTGCTGCATAAACTTTGTCAAGGACTGATAAATTCTTAGCAACCGAAATGGTGCCTAAGTGAATAAATGTTTGAAACATAATGTGCTATACCTTTCACATACAAAAACTATACCATCAATACCATTAGTAAGTCATGAGATTTGAGGGTTCCTTCATAATTCCCAATCTCAACACCCATGTGTACTTGGAGAGGGACACACATACATTGTCTCTCTCACACATACACACACACACACACACACCACACCACATTGACGAGAAAATGCCCTACTCATTCAGATGATTGGCATGTTGACCAGGCATAACGTCGTGACCATGAACAAGAGGCTAACCAATCGCACTGACCAGTTCAAAAACTTTGGGGAAAGAATAGCTTAAAAATCTTGGGTTCAGAGTGACCCTTCACTAAGACTCATGGTCAAGTAGATTTCATCTTAGCACCAAACTCCAGTCTTAGAGGTCTAGGTTGTAGTGATCCTTGTGGGCGTCTGCTTCTGATAAAAATGACAAGATCGGACAATTGAACTCTTAGATTGATTTAATTTTATGATATTCATATGTTTTATAATTAACACGTTACATTGCCTCCAGACAGGTAATAGCAGCCATAAAGTTAAGAGATTGTCAATTAGGGTCAAACAAATCTGGGTGTGAATTCCAGCTCTGCCCGTTACTAACTGTCGATTTGAATTTGGGTGTCATTTAATCTCTTGGGTTTCAGTTTCCATATTTATATAATAGGATAGTAATCCTTATCTCTCAACTCTTTTCTGAGGATTAAATATAATAATGTGTGATACTGCTCAGCTCAGTAACCAATAGTGGCTATTACTATGAAATGGTAAAAATGACTTAGGATCTGTATCCAGGAAAATAGAAAGACATAAAGAGCCTCCTCTGCCTGTGTATTTTTTTCAGTATGCTACCCATTGTTATCTTGAAGTTCCATGTGTAAAATAGACATCAAATAGAAAACACAATTTTATTTTTAAACTAAAACATAATTAAACACTTTTTAAATTTGAAAAAAATTTCAAAATTTTAAATTTCAATAAAATTAAAAAAAATTTAAATGTGAATAAAATTTATAAAATGTAAATAAATCATTTTATTGCAGGTAATGAAGATGCGCATATGCATAAGACCACTTTGCAACAGATAAGAACTGTGACAGACCAAGTGAAGCAAAATGAAGAAAATCCTGTGCCTCCGCAGCCAGCGGGGAGGACAGAGGTGTCATGGCCATCAGAAGCCATGACATGGAGCCCTGCTCCTGTGCTGGCGGGACCCCTGGAGCCCTCCTTTCACTCGAGGATCCTGAGGACACTCTCCCAGCGGGACGTTCGCGCCCAGATCTTCCTTTGGACCTTTGTCCACTGGTCTGACACCATAGAAATGGTGCGCGTGGCCGGCCACGCCGCCGTGTACAAGTCACGCTGGCTATACCCGCTCTACATATTCAGTTATATTTCTCTCCTTCGAATTGTATTCACTCCCCAGAACCCTCTTCTGGGTTTCCTGGGCGTCCTGCTTCAGGATCTACCCTTTATTTTTGTTCGACTTAGTTTAATCCTTGTCCTGGGCACCATCACACCCGTATTGGGCCTTTTTAAAAACATACTAGTGACTCTTTCTTATGTTTACTTCAATTACTTAACCAAATTCAGGGTTTTCTCTATCTTTGAAACATCTTCATTTTAAAAGAAAAATGTAAGACAGTCAAACCTCTTTATTATGCATGTGTGAACGTTTTTAATTGTTTCTTGCTGGTGCATAAGTTTTTGCACTATATAAAGAAATGAAGAATATAGATGGTAGAGAGTCACTATTTTAAATAATTTGTTGCATATAAGTTTTTTTTAATGTACACAAATGGTGCTAAATCTAAGCAAAGTTATAGTCTTACAAGTTGGATCCCCTGGATCTCTAGAAAATGTTAGTAGTTAATTTTAGGAAGTTATGTATACTGTACTTTTTCTAAGAAAACTCTTCAAAAAAGCCTTTAAAAGAAATGAGAATGTGTTTTCCCATTAAGTTAGTCCAAGAATGAGATTTTTATCATTTATATAAATTAAAGAGCATTATAAGAATTAATTAGTTAAAATTAATTTTTAGGAAATACACCTGAAGTTATTGAATAATTTTTAGATTGATTATACTTTTAAAAATTTGAATTGTAGTTTTAGGGTTTCCTTCAAACATGGAATTATGTGCTTTATTCCACTGTGGCAAGTGACCTTTATGTAATCAACTGATTTTAGCATAAAGAGCAATTCAGTTTAACAGATATTTGGCTCAGTTTAAGGTTTAAACTGAAGTTAAGGCTTAAACAGAAGTATTAACATAAATATTAATATAATGAAGTCAAGGTCCATCATTAATACCTAAGTAAAATTTTATAATAGGAAGCCACAAATTGAAGCTGTAGATTTCAAAGTAAAAGATTATTTTATTTGTGGAATTTGAAACCATCATAAAAATAATCATGTACAAGCCCTGTTTCAAATTAGAGGTTATACTTATAAATATAACAGCAAATGCATTAGTATCTTACATGATAATATATAATGGATATCTTGATGTTAAATAATTAGCTACCTAATTATGTAATTTGCCTTTACTATGTGGGGACATTCTCAGATATGCATAGTAGGGGCTTTCCATTTTATGTGAATTTTTAGATGCTAGAAAGATTTGTGAGAGGCTTATTGTGTGCAGAGTAATGTTTTACACAGTTAGTCTCTTCAGTGATCTGTGGTAACAAATAGCTTAAGAATGGATAACTGAGAGTCAACCCTGATGGCCTAGGGGTTAAAGTTTGGTGCATTCCACTTTGGTGGCCCTGGGTTTGGTTCCCTGGTGCAGAAACACACCGCTCCTCTGTCAGTAGCCATGCTGTGGTGGCGGCTCACATAGAAGAACTAGAAGAACTTCCAACTATACACAACTATCTACTGGGGCTGTCGAGGGGAGAAAAAAGGAGGAAGATTGGCACAGATTTTGGTGGAGGGCAAAAAACAAAAAAAAGAATGGATAACTGAACTTGCCTGCCACCCCTACTGTCCACCAAATCCAGCCATGTCACTCACACCCTGTGCTTTATGGTTTTTCCTTACACTGTAAGAGAAGGTCTGTTTGCAGTTGTTAAAAGCTTAGCTTCTGGGCCGGCCCTGTGGCTTAGCGGTTAAGTGCATGCGCTCCGCTGCTGGCGGCCCGGGTTCGGATCCCAGGTGCGCACCGATGCACCGCTTCTCCGGCCATGCTGAGGCCGCGTCCCACATACAGCAACTAGAAGGATGTGCAGCTATGACATACAACTATCTACTGGGGCTTTGGGGGAAAAAATAAATAAATAAATAAAATTATAAAAAACAAAATAAAAGCTTAGCTTTTGGCTCTATGACTTGGGGCAAGTTCTTTGACACTATAAGCCCTAGTTTCCACATCTAAAAGATGAGCATCACAGTAGTACTTTAATAGGGTTAAATCACACTTTAATAGGGTTGAGAGGATTAAATGAGATAGGGAATGTTCTCATCCCTTTGTCTGGCAAACAATAATAACTTGATAAATGGTAAGTCTTTTAATTGCACCAAATCCCAGAGAAACAAGTAGCTAAACGCATTGTTTTAATTCTCCAGTTTTATTCTTTTCTGTGCCCTGCTTATCCTCTGAGAATAATCATTTAAACCATGCATTTGTGAAAAATAATATGTAAAATCTTAAAGTTATCTCAGACTATAATTTTTCATCAAGTAGCATTATGTTCAAAAGTGAGCAATCTACTGAATATAGAGATTAAAGTTGATGTGAGTATTCATTCATCAGAAATTTGAGTGTCCCTACTATGAGTTCTCAGAGAACCCTAATCATAGCACTTTATGAAGGCTTCATTATATATTTACTTTTCTTATTTCCCCATTAGTCTTTAAATTCCTTAAAGGAAGGCCTGAGGGTATCTTGTTATGCATCTTTATCTTCATCTGTCAATCCAACAGGAATTTACGATACTTATAACTCTAAAAAAATATAATACAAATAATTTCTTTCAAATTATGCCATGATAATGTTTTTTATTAAGAAAAACCTATAAACAAGTAGTTGATGTGTAATATTTCTCAATGTGAAAATATTTTACATACATTTATATTTATCTTTATTTTGGAATTTATAGAATGAACAGTGCTCAGATAAATTGAAAAGTATTACTTATTTGAGTTTAGAATGCATTATGTATCTAATATTTGAATATGAACATGCCTGATATTTTGGAAAGTCAAAATACTTTATGCAAATAATGAAGGCATGTATAAAAGATTACATGTAGGAGGAAAATTATTGAGTACCTAATTTAATTTAATATTTTATTTTAAGAATGTACACATGTTTATCAAGTTCAAGTGGTGGATATTTAATAGGCATTGCAGCAAATTATGCTAATGAAACATTGATGGTTCTACACTGTGTGATTAAAAGTTATGGTATTAAGATCATATTGCAATTCTTACGGCTTCTAACGGTTGTTGGTACTAAGGCCAAGATAGCTTTTGTGTCCTTATAAAAAGTTTGCTTTTCTGCTATATGAAAGTATACAAGCAAAAAAATGACAGGATAGGTAGTAGGCTATATGGTATTTTATTCCAAGTAAAATTTGGAGTCCAGCTGATAATTATGTCTTGGTGTAATGTGAGGCTCAAATAAAGTTAGTTGTAGGAAAGATACGTTTTTAAAAGTTAACCTATGTTCAGACTATTATTGTAAAGTCTAATAATTTTAAATAAAATTCTAATACCTTTAATAGACTTTTTATTGTCTTTTCTTTCTAAAAGTTGATGTTTGAAATTAAAATGTGTGAAAGTTACAGTTTTAGTTTTCTTATTAGGGCTCAATTTCACAGAATGACAGTTGTAAATAAGGCATAAGAAAGGAAAGGGAAGGAAATCGTCTGTTGAAGGCCTACTGTGTGCTCTGTGCTGTTTGCTTAACAAATGATTATCTTGTGCAGTGGACCTGTGGGCAGGACTTGACTTAGTGAATATGCCAATAGCATTTCCTATTCATAAACATTAAAAAATATATTGAATTAAATTTACAAAGAGAACAATATACTATTTCGAAGCTATACTACTTAAAATACCTACTTACCCTCCATAGAGAAGGATGTAGTAAATAATAAATGAAAAAAAACCCATTAAATACATACAGCTGAAGCCATTTTATTTTGCAAAGTGGCTATATTTACATGTTAATTGAAATTCTATGTTTAAGTATATCTTGTTGTGATGCCTTTTTCATTGTGGGAGGCTGTGTTGACTCAGTTTTCAGCTTCTTGACTGTCTATCTCTCAACCACCTCACAGCTCTTTAGTAATCTGATCTGAGCACACAAACACCAGAGCCAAGAGGTGAAAAAATAGAGAAACACAGAGATATGCACACCTGCACACACGGAAATATTCAAAACCAAATCCACCTGCATTAGAAAGGTGTTCCAGTGCCTCACAAAGAGACATTAGTTCGTGGACTCTAACTCATACTGCCCCATGTATTGGTCAGGATTGCTGTGCATGATTGTGGTAGCCTATGGGAAGGGTACCCCTCAGGTTCAGCAGTGCACAACCTGCACAACCTTATGAGTGGCATAAGGATAATGAAACCAAAGTGCCTGTGGTTAATAGTTTTAGTAACACTAAAGTTTTGTAAATAATTGACTATTTATAAGAGCTTTTACATATATTCCCATATTCTGAAGGTTATATTTTTTTGAACATTTCATTAATTCACTCATTCAACAAATTTGAGTATCTGTTATAGACTAGGTATGATTTTTTTGATTAAGTAGTCCACAAAAAAAGTCTTGGTAAAACTGGCAAAATTACTTTAAAAAGTAATTTAGGTTACTTCTTGTTTCCAGTTTTGCATGCAAGGAGCTTAGAAGTCACCACTCTGTCCTAACAACAAGTAAAAAGCTAAACAGACTGAAAAATCAACTCTTTTGGGATCCACACGAGAGGGAAGGACACAGAGCAAACTGCTACCCCCAAGACTGGATAGACAGGTGAACACAGCGAGTTACAACTTCCCAGAGCACAGACTTACCAGCTGAAGCCTCCATGGAACCAACACCCAGGTAGGAAACCCTCAACTGTGACTGATGAATTGCTGGAGGCTCTGTGTGTACAACTCTGAGTTAAAAGCTCTAGAGGGACCCGGTCATAGGGGTTCCCCACAATATTGTGAGATTAACCTCCAGGAGCTCAACCAGGTTTCCACAGTAAACATAGGAGAAAAATTCCCCCAGGCTGCCACCAGGGAGAGGGGAAAAGGAGCTATTTTGAAATATGCCAGAGCACTCAGTCCTCAACAAAGCCTGCCCTCAGGGGAAACTAGTTATCCAGAGCCTACTGTGCTGGGGTATTATCAGAGCCGAACCAACCTGGGGGAAGGGAAATACCCAATTCCAGCCCATTCTAGCCATCCTGTCCCACCTAAGCTGGGGAGGAGAAAAAAGCTGAGAAACTCTGGTGAAGTTCACAGTCCAGAGGCACACGCCTACTGAAGACTGGGACCTGATCATAAACTATGGAACGCTTCCTCTCCCTCTAACAGTTCACCACCATGTGACTAAAGGCCTATTTACAGTAGTTCCTTTTACCCAGTACATCATGTCCAGCTATCAAGAAAAAGTTACAAGGCATACTAAAAGGCAAAAAAACACAATTTGAAGAGACAGAGCAAGCAGCAGAACCAGACATGGAAGGGATGTTGGAATTATCAGATGAGGAATTTAAAACAACTGTGATTAATACGTTAAGGGCTCAAATGGATAAAGTAGACAGCATGCAAGAACCGATGGCCAATGTAAGCAGAGAGATGGAAATCCTAAGAAAAAACAAACAAACAAAATACTAGGGATAAAAAACACTGTAACAGAAATGAAGACTGCATTCAATGGGCTTATTGGTGGACTAGACACAGCTGAAGAGAGAATCTCTGCATTAGAGGATATAGCAATAGAATCTTCAAAAACTGAAAAGCAAAGAAAAAAAAGACTGAAAGAACAGAACAGAATATCCAAGGACTGTGGGACAACTACAAAAGGTATAATTTATGAGTAATAGGAATACTAGAAGCAGAATAAAGAGAGAAAGGAATGAAGAAATATTAGAAACAATACAGTCACGTCATTTAACGATGAGGATATGATGTGAGAAATGTGTCGTTAGGTGATTTTGACATTGTGTGAACATCATAGAGTGTACGTACACAAACCTGGATGGTATAGCCTACTACACACCTAGGCTA